TATATATATATGTACATATAATATATATATATATATATATATATATATATATATATATATATATATATATATATATATATATATATATATATATATATATATTATATATATATATTTATATATATATATATATAATATAATATATATATATATAAATATATATATACATATATATATATATATATATATATATATATATATATATATATATATATTATATACATTATATATATACATACATGTAGCTGCTTCATGCAATGGTGTGCCTTTTCACTTTCAGCTGCCACCGCTGGCTAGCCTAGTGTGAAAAGGAACAGCTCTGCATAAGACTCCCTTGCCAGTTCCTAGCACCTCTTGCCCTTCAGTGCCCTGTGGTAAATGGGCAGCTCGGGGGAGTGGGCCTTGCTAGTCCTCCTCCCCACAGCTCAACTCATCGGCAATACAGTAGATAAATGTTTATGCTGGGAAAGGGAACTGCCCTTACCAACCAGCAAGTGAGGCAGGCTGTGGGTCCCGTTGGGAGAGTGACTGCTGGGTCTCAGGATGGGAATGAGAAGTTACTCATCCAGTCTGTGCTCTGGTAGCCGCCAACCAAGTGTGAGGCCTATGGGGCCAAGGAAACCCCACAGGCGGACATTGGGCCCCACAGCCTGCCATCCCATTTTTATATAGGGCATTGTTAGCAAGGGTGGCAGAGGTGGTGTCCACCTGGAGCAACTGCCCGAGGTTTAACCTCAGTCTGGGTAGGAGTATGGAAAATCCCATTTATTGAGGGAACATAAGTGGTTGGGAGTTGAAGTGGCTGCCCTCTTGGAGGTGAGGAGATTTGTCAACTGACTTTTCAACTTTCGAGTTAGTGCTTATCCAGTATGACTGAGACTGAAGCATGTTTTTGGCTTTGTGTCTTTTATTGACGTGTATGCTCCTACTGATGTATGTAAACTCGATGTGAAAGAGGCATTCTATGCCAGACAAACGCCCCTAGCGAGACATTTACATTGTACTGGGCAACTTCAATGTGGTTATTGGCTGTGATTGAGCTGGCTAAAAGATGTCTGTCAGTCCCTATGGCTTGAGAGCTGATCTCAGTAGCGAGAACAGCCTCCTTCACCGGAACTTTCCTAGGTCCCCGACTTGAGGATTTCTGGTTCCTGGTATCAGCACTCCAACCCGCATTGCTAGTCTTGGTATAGCGACACAGGTACTTTGGCCAAGGAGATCGACAAAGTTTTTTGTTAGCACTCGCTGGAGGATCCTCCAGAACTGCAGGGTTTACAGGAGTGCCAAGTTCTGTGGCACTGATCATAGATTGGCCCACTTCAAATCCCCCCATCTCTCCAGTGGCCACTCTAAGGCGTTTCACCTGGACAGATTGAGGGAGGAGTGTACACGGAGGTTCACTGCAACAATCTCTGATCAGTCAACAGTGCTTGGAAAGCTGACGGACCCTGTAGCTCTGTGGGATTCCTTTAAGCGTGAAACACTCGGTGTAGCCCTGGAGTCCGTTGGTTAACTCTTGAGGACAAGGCAGAACCTCATCTCACTGGAGACACTGGAGGCCACAGATGCATGTCACATGGCTCGTCTGAATGGCAGTCAAGATTTGCGCCATTCTTTGGTGCACAAGGCTTGGACTCTGCTGAGAAGAGATAAGAAACAGTTCATCAGGAATCTTGCTGGGGAGGAAGAAGGCCATTTTCTAGTAAATGACCTTCGTCTTGCCTACCAACTGAACTCCAATCCCTCCTCAAGGATGACTGCAGTCCGCTCAATGTATGAACGGATCATCTCAGATCATGCTGGGGTTTGTGAGTGTTGGGCTGAGTATTTTGAGCAATCCATGTGCAGGACCCACTCGTCAGTGAGGATACTTCTATCCTGACTCAGGTTAGGGAGGCGATCTCGAAGCTGAGGAGTGGGAAAGCTGCAGACATTTGGGATATCCCTGCTGAACTGCTAAAGGCTGGGGGTAAACCTA